ATATAGGTTTTTGGGTCAGATCGCGTTATTTATAAATGTGTCGTAACCCTCCACCATCCGACACGGCCAAACAGTAAAAAATGTGTCACGTTTTCAAAGGACAAATTGACTTCTTTAGCCCACCGGTGTGCTGAAGATAGAATCAACAGCATTTTAAAATTTGAGTACGACGTTTCGCTGATAGTTACAATCAGCTTCATCGGGCAAGAATGGTGAAACTCTCATGTTGCTTCCGGTCTTAAATAGAGCAGCATCAGGGTGACGTCATCATTTAATTCAATTCAATCTGGTGCAGTGATTCGAGGCAAGGAGGGGGAGGATATTATAATGATATAGATTGGTAATCATTCAATTGTTATTCATTGGTATTTGTAATTGTATTTATTTGATAATACGCTTCCAGGCCGCACTAAGCCTGTAGCTGTCAGAGCGATTGAAGTTATTTCTGTTTCTCTCAATTTCAATGGATGCTCTAATTAGTCTTGGCCAGTAATAATTAGTTTTACACAACACTTCAACGTTATCAAAATCAATTGAGTGTCCTTGTTGACAAGCATGCTCTGCCACTGCCGACAGTTGTGTTTGATATAATTTAATGTTTCTTTGGTGTTCTTTTAGTCTTACACTGATGTTGCGTCCCGTCTGTCCAATATAGCATCTGCCACATAAACAATTAATCCGAAATACACCTTCTGTTGATAATTTAGGCAATTCGTTATTAGTGCCAGATACCAGTTTTTGAATTTTGTGCACTGTACCAAATCTTACTTTAATGTTTTGCTTTTGCAAAACCCGGGCTAATTTGTCAGTTACTCCTGAGATGTATGGAATTTTGATTGTTTGAACAATCTTATCGCTTTCAGCAGTGTTGCTTTGCGTTCGTGATTTGGCCTTTATTGCTCTGTTAATTTGAGCATTATTGTAGCCATTCTGTCTTAGTGCTTCTTTAACATGTTTCATCTCTCTCACTAGACTCTCACCATCTGACACTGTTTTTGCCCGATGTATGAGTGTTTTGATAAGAGACGATTTCTGAGCTGGGTGATGATGTGAATCTGCATTCAGATAGGCATCAGTGTGCGTTTGCTTTCGGTAAACGCTGTGTGTTATTTTGCCATTAAGACCATGTCCCAGCAAAATATCTAGGAACGGGAGTTTGTTATTTACCTCCATTTCCATGGTGAACTGGATAGCCGGGTTTTGTGCATTGAGATGATTTAGGAAATCATTAAGTGCATTTTTACCATGTGGCCAGACAACCAAAGTGTCATCAACATATCTAAACCAAAAGGATGGTTTTAATGTACTCGAGGCAAGTGCTCCTGTTTCAAAATTCTCCATGTAAAGATTGGCTATAGCAGGAGATAAAGGAGAGCCCATTGCGGCTCCTTCCCTTTGTTTAAAGAAATCGCCTCTCCATAAGAAGTAAGTGTTATTTAAACAATGATCAGCTAGTTTCGAAACATCTTTTGGTAAACCTGTATTCTTTACCAGTGTATCAAGTAATTTAAGCGACTCGTTCACTGGAACCTTAGTGAATAGAGAAATCACATCAAAACTCATCAGAATATCATTAGGCTTAAGTTTGAAATCTTTAATCACATTCACAAGATGTTCTGAATTTTTAATGAATGAAGATGTCCTACTGATGTAGGGCTGTATTTGTTTAGTTATATAATTTGATCATTTATATGTGGCAGAGCCAATTGTATTGACTATGGGTCGTAATGGGATGCCGATTTTATGAACCTTTGGTAGCCCATACAATCGCGGTGGTTTTGAAGCCCTTGGCTTAATTCGGTATTGCTCATTCTTAGGAATTAATGAATTTGCAATGATTGCAGTAGTCTTACGTTCTAAAGTATTGGTTGGATCTCGTTTAATTTTAATGTAGGTACTTTCATCTAGTAAATCTTTAATTGTATCATCATAATCAGCTCGTGACATCACGAGTAGTGCGGCCTTTATCAGCTGCCAGGATTTGAATATCTTTATTGAATCGGAGCTCTCTTAAGGCTTTTTGCTTCGTTCAAGCTAATATTTACTTTTGGTACTTTACTATTCTCAATTATTTTAGCAACCTCGTGTCTAGTCATCTCTGCCTCATTATGTGGAAGTAGTCTTACTGCTGATTCTATCTCAGCAATTATCTCATCCACTGGAGTTGTGCGTGGAGTAACGGCAAAGTTAAGGCCTTTAGAAAAGACAGAAATCATGTCACTGGTTAAAACAGTGTTAGATAAGTTCATTACGGTTTTGTTTTTAAACTGTTCGTTTTTAGTATCTGGCACTAAAGACGAATTGCCTAAATTATCAACAGAAGGTGTATATCGGATTTATTGTTTATGTGGCAGATGCTATATTGGACAGACGGGACGCAACATCAGTGTAAGACTAAAAGAACACCAAAGAAACATTAAATTATCTCAAACACAACTGTCGGCAGTGGCAGAGCATGCTTGTCAACAAGGACACTCAATTGATTTTGATAACGTTGAAGTGTTGTGTAAAACTAATTATTACTGGCCAAGACTAATTAGAGAATCCATTGAAATTGAGAGAAACAGAAATAACTTCAATCGCTCTGACAGCTACAGGCTTAGTGCGGCCTGGAAGCGTATTATCAAATAAATACAATTACTATTCCTTATAGGGGAAACAAATACCAATGAATAACAATTGAATGATTACCAATCTATATAATTACAATACCCTCCCCCTCCTTGCCTCGAATCACTGCACCAGATTGAATTAAAATAAATGACGACGTCACCCTGATGCTGCTCTATTTAAGATCGAAAGCAACATGAGAGCTTCACCAGCTCTTGCCCGATGAAGCTGATTGTAATTATCAGCGAAACGTCGTACTCAAATTTTAAAATGCTGTTGATTCTCTCTTCAGCACACCGGTGGGCTAAAGAAGTCAATTAATTTTTCCTTTGAAAACGTGACACATGTTTTACTGTTTGGCCGTGTCGGGTGATGGAGGGTTACGACACATTTATAAATAACGCGATCTGACCCAAAACCCTATATTATGAATGATACTAGTTGGCGATCATCGGTCCACTTCCAACCACACTTTCCCCCAAGTGCCTACTCGTGTTTCACTATGACCCTGACTGCTGCTGCTGCTTGCTGTTGGCTCGTCTAATATGTCATGGCAGACAACAGCAAACCCACCACCACCACGAGCGGAGTCTGCCCTACGACTCTGCCTTAATGAGCTCAACCAATCAACGTTCTACTGTTTGGTGCTCACTTCCTCCACTCAACTAGGTGGCGCTTAGACCCCCTGCAATCGACAAATCCTGTATATATTTTTTAAAACACAGAGAAGGCAAAAATAGTACAAAAGGCGACGAAGGTGAAAAGTTTCAGGATGTTGGATGGCAACAGAGGGCCCCCACAGTCCGCTGCTGTACTGCGCAAGTACACAACTGCAGCACTCCCCCGTGATTCCACTTCGAGAATAGTCGAAGAGGAGCATAAAGGGCGCGAAAGTGCAACTGGTTAAACTCCAGGTGCTGGGTGGACGTGGCAGCGTTATGCCACGCATAGGAGCCCCCTAATCAACAGATAAACAAGTAAAACTAAATATGAAGATACAATGAGTTACATTTTTTTTCATTCATTAAAAATAAACTACCTGCGGTCTACCTTGGACCAAGCCTGATCATTAACGCATCTGGCTATCGAATCAATAGAGCAGCAGCATCAAGTTGCGCGATCCACACCCCTTTGAGGAAATCCAAGACTCATGGACCCGGCATGAAAGACGCTGGATAACTTAATTGTGAGTAGTCGTAATTTTTCAATTGATTGTTTTTATGAATACTTTCACTGTGAGAACTGCGTTCATCTAAACCCAAGGCACGGTGTAAATCAAATAGTTATAGTCGACATTATTTGGTATGTAATAATGTGCTTCTTCCATTCCAGAAGCATTAGCATAACGCGGAATGCGCCCCCCATTATAACGCGGAATGCGCCCCCCGTTATAACACGAAATGCGCCCCCCCCCCCCCCGTTATAACGCGGCTCCTGAGTGGTCGGCGTTGAACGACTTTCTTGAGCTGCGCGGCTGAGCAGTACAGTGATTTAGTATGCTGCAGCAGCAGCCTTGGTCAATTAACTGCTGGATGGTGACTGCCTCCCTCAAAGCCATCAGGCAACGTATCACGTCCTTGGTGTAACATTCAATCAGTGGGGACTCATTGAGTTGATACCAATGTAGAGGCGGATTTCCAACCAGTGAGTCATTCAATCTGTAGGTAAGGAGCAGGCGATACACACTGGAGCCAAATAAAGGCTGCATGCAAGCGATAACGGGACTCGTTTAAAGTAAAAAATATCATTTTATCACGACTAAAGCGCGTGCTGCTCTGTGGTTCACTGTTCACCTGCACAGCGCGAGGAGACGTCACCACGACTTCCTGCCGCCTTCAACTATAAACTGCTTTTATTTTACCAGGTAAAACCCACTGAGCTGTGTAGCTCTTTTTCAGAAGCGACCTGGCCATCACAAATGATAACTCAACGAAGTGGCTAATCACCGAATGGACATTTATAGCAGTGCCAAATAGAGTAGACTCTCAATTATCCGCGATAATGACTGGGAGGATGGCTGCGGATAACATAATTAAAATATATCAATTTTCAACGGATCTCTATGCCAAAAAACACCAATTTAGGTATAAATTATGTTTAAGTTAAGAAAATTTAGTTTTTTAATGAATAAAACAAAAACTTGTAGTAAAGAATGCATTGATCTTGTTTTATGGAACTGCCGTCTGATTTAAAGTGAAAACAACACGCTTCCGAGAATCGAACTCGGGTCTCTGCCGGGTTCGTAGCGCTGCGCGCTATCCGCTACGGATACACGTGGTGGAAAGCAGTACTCGCGAGTCTGCCTTGAGCGCACTGCACAGACTAAGACAAAAGATGCACCACCTGTGGTCTCCAACAGACTGCTGGGGTATGGGGTGCGTGTCTCTCACCCGTGTGACGCACAGGCGCGGGGGAGCGGTGGCGCAGCGGTTAGCGCACTACTGCGCCGCAGGCCACGGCGACGCGAGTTCGATTCCCGCTCACGGCCACCCAACACCGGTGCTCGATAGCGGTCGTGGGCCTCCCCTAGGTCGACTCGGCCTCGATCTCCCGCTGCTCGCGTCTCCCGCTCCGCGCTGGAGCTCCTCGCAATGACGTCGCTCGCTCGGTGAGAAGTTCGATTTCCTTTCGGGGAAATTGCGGCGGCGTTGATGCTGTTCACGCAGGCGCGAGCAGAGCTGCGTGTGAGTGCTTGTCTCTCGATCAAGTTCATAATGTCCGTGTCAGAGACGATCATTAACCCCCTGTCTCTCTTCTGACTCCTGATCCAGGATTAATTTCGTGATCGCACTCACAGATTGACTCTCCCCTCTCATCTCACTCTACTAACTCTCCCTTATCGCCATACTCTCCTGTCTCTCCCCTCTCATCTCACCATACTCCCCTCCACGCATTCTCCTGCTTCACCCCTTTCATCTCACTCTCCTCCCCTCCACACTCTTCTACCTCTCCCCTATCATCTCATTCCACTCCCCTCTACGCACTCTCCTGCCTCTCCCTTCTCACCCAACTCCCCTCGACGCACCTTCCTACCTCTCTCATCTCATTCCAATCCTCTCCACGCACTCTCCTGCCTCTCTCATCTCACTCCACTCCCCTCGACGCACTCTCCTGCCTCTTCCCTCTCATCTCACTCTCTTGCCTCTCCCCTCTCATCTCACTACTCCCCTCACCCCTCTCATCTCACTCCACTCCGCTCCACGCACTCTCCTACCTCTCCCCTCAACACTCTCTGTCAAACCCGCCACTCAGCCTTCTCTCTGCTGCCTTGACAATAAAAGCTGGCTCGAGAGAGATTTGGATCCGTGTGCTCCACGTGATGTAACGCGCGTTCAAAAAGACAAACATCGACAAAGAAAAGGAAACAAAATCTTACAGCTTTGCAAGACGCGTGGAGAAAGATACATGCGTGGAATTACACTGAGAGGCAGAGAGAGAGCGAGAGAAACACGTGCATTAGAGAACGCACGCAGGGTTGAGACATCATCATCACACTGATCGTCATCCAGCCGTGGATTAAGCATGGTTGATGGTGTTCATATTGAGATATAGATAGAGGAACACGTGGATTAGAGAACACATGCAGGGTAGAGACATCATCATCACATTGATCTCAATCCAGCCAAAGATAGAGCATGGCGATGGTGATTACACTGAAAGACAGAGAGAACGGAATACGTAGATTAGAAAACACGCACAGGGTAGATACATCATCACATTGATCTTTATCCAGCAGTGGATTGAGCATGGTTGATTGTGACAAAAAGTTTGTTTGGTGGTTGAGAGAATGAAAACGCCACCTGTTTGTTTCCGAGTAAATTTGCTAAGACAAAGATTTCCGTATAGCCCACACAACCTGTTAGGGCAAGTGATGTTAGTGTAAATGTATAAAGCACACATACACGTACAGAGAGAGACAATAATTCCCTGTGTAACCTCTAACAGAAGCAGCACCTATGAAGGCCCACACAGCACCAAGGCCAGCTGACTTTGTCTCCCCAGTGCTGATGCTGTTCCCATAACGCCGCGGGCACAGAGAGTCCCCGCTTAACGTCGATTCGATAAATGTTGTTTCATTATACCATCGCCAGTACAATAGAGAAAGTGTCCCATTATAACGTCGCGACGTTTGCGTTTATGCCGTCTCTAAACTATAACTATGCAACTTTTTTTTATTTAACCAGGTAAGGCCCACTGAGCTATATAGCTCTTTTTCAGAAGCGACCTGGTCATCGCAAATTTTAGCTCAACAAAGTGGCTTATCATCATGTGGAAATGTATAGCAGACAAATACTCTAAACGCGTGACGTCGGCTCTAAATATGGAAGGAAAACCGGAGGACCCGGAGGAAAATCCACGCAACCACGGGCAGCAAACTCCAAATATACAGCCGGCGTCAGGGTCGGGATTGGCCCTACGACCTGCTGTATACCAGGCGAGGCAGTTAACATCTCTCCGCCGTGATGATGATGAGAGAGAGAGACACCTAAACTCGAAATAGACAACAAGCATCGTAAGGGTAAGGATCGAACACTCGACCTCCTGTATACTAGGCGAAGTAATTAACATCTCACCACCGTGATGATGATAAGAGAGAGACACGCAAACTCCAAATATGCAGCATGCATCGTCGGGGTCAGGATCGAACCCTCGACCTCCTGCATACCAGGCGAGGTAGTTAACATCTCCTAGCCACCGCGGCGCTCGCGGTGGCTTGGTATGGAACGATTTAATTTTTGTATTTCGTACTCGGAAAATATATATCGTACCGTAATTTCGTACCTTCTATCGTACCTAAGAAAGAACAAAAAGCTTCTAATACAATAGATGACAAGCGAGATTAGAGTTGATCGAATCATTTGATTGTGTTGGTCGAATTGAAAAAAAAAAACATTCTTATATCCAAACTCGCATTATTTCTAAATGTCGATGAAATATGCTTAACAATGTCACCCATTATCAATGGCACGTGGCATTTTGGGAAGGGAATGTTTCCAGAAGTGTTAGTCTTTGATAACTGAAGTGTCGCTTTCTTGTAGCTGCCTATAAAGGCAAGAATAGTGTAATTACTTCTGGCAACAACAAATAATCACCCGATGAAGCTGGAATTGAATTACCAGCGAAACATTGCGTTACTAAATTAGTAATTGTTGTGGATTTATCCATAAAAGAGGTTTTTGTTGGGTTAGATTGCGTAAATATGAATGTGTCGTTAAACCTACACAGCCAATTACCCGACACAGCCAATTAAGTAAGGTTTGTCACGTAAACAAAACATGCCAATTCTTTACTAGTTTAGCACTAGCCTACTTGTATGTTGGAGAGTAAACCCACTCCATGTACATGCCACGTTTTGTTTACGTGACAAATCTTATGTGATTGGCCGTGTCGGGTGGTGGTAGTGGGTTAGCAACAATTTTATATTTACGCGATTTAACTCCGAACAAAAACACTTTTCTTTCTATAGTGGATGCAAAAATTAAGAAGCTTAACTTCTAATCAACTAATAACCTGGTACGAAAAGAGTATGAAATAAAAATAACAACCGCATTTTCCTACCGTACCATAACCTTTGATAAGGTACCCTACTTAAGAACCAAAACATCCCGTAAGCGTACCCGCAATGTCAACCCGTAGCGTGGCCTGTCGAGTTACAGAGTGGAGTCGCCCTCAACGCTCCCTGCGTCCCTCCCAGCTCCCCGTGCCTCCTATCTCAGACTTTCTTCCTCTATCTTAATTAGAATTGAACCACTTCTATGGGGAAGTTCCAAGTTTACCTTTTTCTCTCTCTCTGGGTTTTTTGTTATCTCTCTCTGCCTGTATATTTAGTGTACTTTTTTCTGTCTACACTCGTTTTTTGTTGTTCTTATGTTCTGCTCTGTCTGTATGTCTCCGTTCCTCTTGTTTTTATGTTTTGTCTTTCTTTGGAATTTTCACACTTAAATTCTAACTTATCAATCTTTGAAATACGTAATCGACCAGGCTATGGGTTAATTGTGTGTTGACCGACTCTCTGTGTTGTATTACATAACATTTCGATATTTTGCTAGGTTATTTAATTTAGTGTGTTCTTTCTCCCTCTCTCCTAATGTTCAAGCCTGCGTACTTTACTACGCGTCTCTTCGTACTCATTGACATGTAAATTTTTTCTCTAACCCCTCCCTCTCTCTGCCTCCGCCCCCCTCTGTCTATTTAAGGCCACCCCACAGAGACGATCTCCCTCTCTGTACATGTGTTACTCTCTCTATGTATCTTGGTGATATCTGTCTGCTTATATGTCTGTCTATAGTTTTCGGGTTATATTTTTGTTGCTATTTCATTTATACCTGATGATGATTGCTTGTGTTGCAATCGAAACGTCGTATGCTATTATTTAATTTATTATTTTATCTTTATACGTGACTTTACCGAAAGAACCAAAGCATAATTTCTTCCGCTATATTTTCACTTAAAACGTTCGTGACTGCAGGAATTCATGTTCTTTGGTTCTTTCGGTAAAGTCACGTAGTTATAAAAATAAAAATAAAGTGAATGAAAAGAAAATGCTAAAAAAAACTTGAATGTAGACTGTAGCCTGGTTCTTAATCGGAGTGAGTGGAATGGCAGTCTATAATGTAGACTGTAGCCTGGTTATTAAGTTTGATGGGTGTACTGGCAGTCTATAGTGAAGACTATAGTAATGGTTATTAAGCTGGGTGAGTGTACTGGCAGTCTAGAATGTAGACTGTAGCCTGGCTCTTAACCTTGGTGAGCGTACTGGCAGTCTAGAATGTAGACTGTAGCCTGGTTTTTAAGCTTGGTGAGCGTACTGGCAGTCTATAATGTAGACTTATTCTTGGTTCTTTCAGTAAAAAAAAAAGATTAAAAAAAGATTTTTAAAAATAAACAACAAAAACCACGATGCTCAGATCACAACACAGGCGATCGTCTTCAGGCGGGAAGAAGGAGATCGTCACCTAAGGTAGCCGTTTATTAAGGTTTCAAAATGGTCGTGGCACAAGAGCAAAAGCTCCTGCGGTGCAACGAAGTGGGCGGGGCATATGTGCCCTGGGGTCAGAGAGCACCAATGTGAAGCACAGAACATGCAGTGCCACGGCTCGTCTCGATGTCAGAACGAAGTGGGCGGGGCACATGTGCCCTGGGGCAAGACAACAAGAAAACGACACAAACAAGTCATGACTTGACCTGTGCTCCTCCGACAAGAAAACACAAATCAAGTCACGACCCAAAGTGGTTGATGACATCTTTCCAATGATTGCTGATTTTATAACCATCCTCTCGGTTGAAATTGTGTCTGTGTCTGTATATATGTGTAATGCGGGCGTAAACGACCTTCCGGAAGTGACGTCATGGGGGGAGGAGTTACGTCACGTGGGGGACAGGGTTCAGGGTTATAAGGGGAGAAACCGGAAGCAGTAGGGGAG